GCAAGCACATGATGGCCTTCTCGAACACCTCGCCAAACACTTTCAAAATGCATCGAGTGCTGCGGAGGAAAGCATATGCGGACTTCCTTTTGGGAAAAACTGTTTCCTGAGCCCCGCAGAGACAGAGTTTGTGGACTCTGACTGTGGTGAGCGCTGACTGAATGACACTTCTCCAGTTTTTATATCAAACACTTTATATGGGTGAGTTGAGGAGCTGTGCCTTTGGGAACTGATGAACAAAAAACGCAACATGAATCTTCTTTTGATAATTTAAAGTGATGTTAATTTGACTGACTCAACTTATTTATTTGAATATTAACGTCGACTCTTGAACTCTTACTGTAGTTGTATTTAATTGTGAATAACTGCAACAGAAATGTATCAAACCTGGTTTCAATTGTGTCGCCTTATCAGTCCTGAGATACAGTGTATTTTTCTGTAAAGTTTCAGGCAGTCAAAAAAAAAGGAAAACACCACCTAGGAAATCTCCTCATTACCCTTTCTTAAACATGTAAACTGTTGTTTACATGTACTAATGAATGTACTAATACATTCTTAAAGATGTGCTCTGTTGAAATGATACTGTTCTTGGCTTTTGAATGTTGCAGCGGCACCACAGTTACTTTGTCCTAAAGAGCCGGCACCTGTGAAGATTGAAGCAACACTTTGCAGGACTTAAATAATATAAAAACCCCTCCTGTTTACCTCAATAATGGAAAATTGGCTTGTATGCAAAAGTGGAAAACATTCTGAACCATCTTTTCTTTTTTTTAAGCTGTAGAAATTATTTAAAAAGTTAAACCAATTAAAAAAGGGGTTGATTGGAATTTCAACCATATTAAGCAGTTTATATTAACTCTAAAAACTCTTCATTTACCCTTTGAGTATCGATTGAAAGACAGCTGTTACATTCTGCATGCATTGGTTACTGTATGTATTAGATTGCGCTTGTTGTGTACATGCAGTACTTTTCTTTGACCACTAGGGGGAGTGAGTCTAGCATGTAGAACTGTTAAAGTAGCTTGCTGTCTTATCCTGAGCCCTGGCCTTAAATGTTGTCCTAACCACAACAGTGGATTCATAGTCATGACACATATGTTTCTTTGACTCACATGCCACAGAAAAACAATTAAAAAAACATTAAAAAACACTTTTCTTGCTTTTAAAAGCAGAAGAGAGGGGGGTTTATGTTGACTAAGCAGAACGCAAAGGCTTGTTATATAGCCTGACTGAAACATCAGTGTTTACTTTCATGAAATATTTTAATCTATCAAAATTTAGCATCTTTAAAATCATTTTTTTTGTCTTTTGGAAGCTAAAACAAAAAGCAGTTGAACAACATAGAAGCCTATTTTCTACAAGCCTGTCACTGGTGTGTTGTCGTTGGCACGCTTCTCTCCTGCAGGTCCCTCTGTTCAGAAAGTGGGCTAATATTTATAGAAACGTCCCACTTCGGCTTGGATTTGACATCGCTCTTGCTCTTTCTTGCTCCATAGGGTGATTAGACCTAAACAGGAGTAGGTTTTTTTTTTTTTTTTTAAAAGGTGTATCTATCTCACCGGGGCCCAGACTGAATGAGATGATGAGTCGAACAGCAGAACCTGACATATTGTTTTCCTCTCTGGAAAATGTATGACGACAGTTTAGAAGTAGCTGCTTTGATCTTTTTTTTTTTTTTTTTTTTTTTTTTTTTCCCCAGAAGGTTAATGCTTTCTGGGGCTTATTAAAGCCCTCTGACAACTATGATAAAGTGCCTTTGGGCAATACACCAAGCAGAGCCAACCTCGTATCGCGTGTTGGTAAGGAATTATTCTGACAGTTTGGGAAATGGACTAATTTGCTTCTTGGCAGAGAGTTAGGTGTCATAATAAGTTTGAAGCTATTGCATATTTGTAGCTATAAACATCTGCAGTATAGATTAAACAGTAAGCAAAATCTGATTACTATGACAAAACCTGACTCATTACAATACTATGTTTTCTTTGTTTTTAATCAGGAGAGTTGTATTTAAATCAGTATCAGAAATGCCCCTTACACATCCATAGATGTGGTTGTAATGAGTATGTCATTACCGTATGATTCAATGCCGTGATTAATCGGCTCCTAAATCATCGACTTATTCTCCTACAGAACAATAAACTATAAAGCAATGATGTATGTTTTAGCTGTTACTTTAAGCTTTTATTTTGAAAGACAAAATCACTTATTTCAGGGTATTATGTGTTTAAAGTCAACCTCCACGGCCCAGTTCTTACCACAAAGTTGTCTTAGGAAAATACAAATTTTGCACATCTATTATATCACATTATCTTATCTCTGTGATAAAATTCATTCCAAGCGAGGTCAGTAGTTTCCTCGAATTGTCACGCTTAAGCCATGACAATAATTGGGACAAGCCAGGCACGGACGGGGATGAATTATTTTCTGTTGTTTGAATTTGATCATACATGGTTGGTGTGGTTTAAAAACCCAAATATATATAGACAGCGTGCTGAGTGAATAAAGCCAGAGTCCATTTTTTAAAATATTAATTTATTTTTGTTGATTCCACCCAGATTGTCATCTTTCTGACATTGGTGTTCAGTGACAGTATGTGTGTTTATCCTCACGTGCTTTGAGGATTTACACACACACACACAACAACAAAAAAAACACATAGAGCTTTGAAGCACATCTGCTCAGTCGCAAGTTAATTCAAAGCAAACAGCTGAGATTTGAGAATGACAGGCCGGATTTCTCAATGGGGTTTGCTGAGGAGAAGGAGGACGTCTTTAACCGAGAGGAGGGATGTTTGCATGCTGAGTGAATGATGCCGGCCACAGAGCTTATCTATATTACAGTTTAAGTCAGGATTAAGAGCTGAGGATTTCCATTGAGGTTAAAAAAAAGAAAAGGGAAGAGTCTTTTTGTACATTTCAACCAAAGAAAGATCGAAATGTACCCGATTTAAATCAGAAAAAAAAAAAAATCACCTAAAACATGACAAAACATGATAAATTCAGCGCTTAGAAGTTTTGGAAATGTAGTTGGGATAGTATTTCAGCTCGCCTCTTGTGCATCACTCTGCCCTATTAGGCTGCAGAATGGATAGTGAGCATGTTTAATGGATCAGCCTCTTTATTAGGGACAAGCAGAGAAGGATGAGCTACAAGAAGAAAGCCCAATGAGAAGCCATTAAAAATAGATAAAGAGAAGAGCTGCCAGCGCCTGAACAGGATCCGACTCAGGGAACGGTACTTTGTTACATCCTCAGAGCCAGCCTTTTACTTTCACTGCCTCCATTTTTTTTTTTCCGCCTCTCTTTTCTCCAAATGCTGCACACCTGTGCTGCTGGACGACTTAATCGTTCAACAGCTTTTCCCTTCAGAATTTACTGCCTGCATTTTTTTTTTTTTTTTTTTTTTTAAATGAATGACCTTATGCACACAGTACAGAAAAGTGCCTATATTCATTCTCCACTTCTTTGACCTGGTTATTCTTCTCTCAGAATATTATTATTCAGCCAAACTGTTACAAACTTCATTTCTGGCTTGAGGAAACACCCACACAGCTGCTGAATCGGCTCAACTTTTTCCAAGATTTCCTACGCCCCCACAAGAAAACTCATCCATATCTGTATCTTTTCTCAAACATTTTTGTCTTCTTCTGACTCCCGATTTGCATAAAGTTACTCTTGCTCAGGGATACATATTCAAATATTCTTTTTTTATTTGCATAGAAATACTTTAAAGGCATTTCAGATTATAAAACTATGCTTTCTAAAAACATCATTCTGAGAGTTTCTTGCTTATGTGCAGTTGAGGTCGCTGAGACATATAATAAAAAGGCCAAAAATGATGTATTGTTTTTGTTGAAGCTCTTCTAGTTTCTTAGTAGATCAAAACAACCCTAGCACCATTGTTGGTCCCATTCTCCAGCTCCACATAAATCACAGTGACAATAATAAAGAAGCATTTTTTCCCCCACAGTTCAGCAAAAATCAGACACATTCTTCTTCTCAGAGGGTAAGAATTTTCCCTTGCTGGGCCATCGACTCCTGCAGACATTTTAAAAGGAAAAATACAATGCATCCAAACCTGTACTGTCCTCTTCAAAAACACATTCAACATACCAACTGATATCAGGAAAAAAAGGCATTCCTCTCAATTATCATGCTCAGATTCTCAGGTTTCTTAATATAGTTCCCAATAATAAATATTCAATGAAGGATGGATTAATTAAATTAACAGCAGTATCATGTTTCCTTGCATACTGTAAAACTAATGCAGGCAGACTCATTAAGAATAGATACCATTTAAACAAGTGTTCTTGTTAAGCATCTCTCTGTCATATCTAGACGTATATCCATGGTCAGCTATAAGCTGTGTTGTTTGCTTGGGTCAAAGTGAGTTAAGACAGGACTTTACTTTGGTGTGTTTAACATCAAGTCCTCATGAAAAACATCTCCAGGCTTATCCTTTTAATCCGCTCTTAGCTGCCTTTATCCCGAAGCCTTAATTCTCTCATGAGGATACTGTGAGGATCTGAGAGGGCAGCAGAGTCCAGCTCCATCCAGAAGAGACAAACTCGAGGAAATGGAGTCCTTAAAGCTCTTACAGATCCTACTCCTAGAAGCAGTAAATGTGGAAAAAATATGGATATTTCTACCTTCATTACTCTGAATGTCCCTTAAGTCTTGCACCCATGAAGAAACTGCACAATAGCACCCATTTCAACTGAATACAATAGCCTGCATTGAGCAACATGCAGGTAATCCATCTTTCCTTGATTTGCAGACATGCACACAAAAGCCATGTGCTGATAGTGGCACTATAGGGTGTAATGTTGCTGTCAGCTGCTCCAAAAGCACCCTCCCTCCCTCCCTATCTCGCTCCTCTCTATCTCTCTCCCTCTGTCTTTCTCTCATTGTCTATACCCCCACCACAGATGAAAACAGGTCCCCACAGAGGATGCTGGCATCTCATTGGCTGGGACATTTCACAGGAGTGGAAAGAGAGAGAGAGAGAGAGAGAGAGAGACGAAGGTGGAGAGAAAGCTGAAGAAGATGCAACTACTCTGCCACAGCATCCTGGCAGAGCGCTGAGCTGAGGGATGCAAGAGGTGCCCACACATGAGCTCTTATTTTTGTCTTTTAAATTTTCCTTGTCAATGGAGATTTTGCAGATTTACAGGACAACTCCTTACATGTTGCAGCTAAAATGACTCTGCAGGAGGGGCAAAAGCTGGGAGGACTGATCTGAAGCTTTTTGGATCTCAATATCACCTGGTTTTGCAGCTCCAGGTGATCTCATTTTCTACCCAACCTATATTTGAACCTGCATTGCACTGCTTCAGGGAGCTTTTAAAATCTTCCCAGTTTGCTCTGTTGTCTTCAGAAGAAGCATCGCTCGAGGAAAAGGGTGGCTGCTTTTTCTGTAAATGTGTGTCCCAGCGTTCGGTACTGGACTGTCACCCTCAAGTCTCCTCCTGCACCTACTGAGAGCTCCTGGAAGCCCCCTGCTGTGCCACTGGGATGGTTTGACATCCAGCCAGCAGTTGGCTACCCCACATCTGGGTCAAGATGCCAGTGATGAAGGGCCTCCTGGCCCCTCAAAATACCTTTCTGGACACCATTGCTACCCGCTTCGATGGCACCCGTAAGTACTCTGAGGACTGAGTTGTTTTGGTACTTGTAGTTTTTTGACACAATGTTCAAAATATCAATCAAACATTTTAACCCCAATAATTGCTTTGGCGCAGCTTGTGTAAATAAATACATAAAACACAACAACAAACAGACAACAAATGATACATAGGAGCTAAAGTATAGAATACTGACCAACAGAAAGACTGAAACTGAAAAACAAACAGGATAACACAATTAAAGAAAAATAAAATCAGTTGGCCAAGAGACCTATAAAACCTATGGAGCATTCAGAAGTCAAATTGCTTTTAACAGCAGTTTTTGAAAGTAGTTTTTTTTAAAACAGGAACAAAATAAAGACACCCTCATGACAACACAGAAAACTAATTTGTAAGAACACAATTGGAACAATTGGAATCAAGATTTTTGTTTTAATGCAATGGAAGCAAAAAAATACAAAAAAGAGTTTGAAAATTAAGTCAATAATAGTCTCAAAGTAGTTTACAGAAGGCTATCAGCAAAGGAAGGTAAGAAGGAGAGATTAATCTGTTCCCCTGTCAGTCTCTTTTGGTGTGTTTTAAGACACCCAAACACTGGCTTACTAAAACCACACCTTCTAACTGTTGCAAAGTGACAATTTGTTTGCACTTTAACTGTAGATTTAACCTTCAGGAAATCATGTTGTCTTTCCACATTGCTTTACCACCAAATTGGCCTGCACAGCCATCGGGCAGCGCTGCAGTTTCTGCATGGCTTACGTCTCTTGTTTTGAACCTTGTGCCACCTCAGGGGAGGCTGTGGCTCGTTGTAAACAAATACCGCTGGGACGTCTTTGTGTGCTCACTCATCGATTCAGCCCTCTTCTCCCTTTTGCTAGTCACAACAGCCTGAATGAATAGCTGGATGGCTCACTGTTAGTCTCCGAGCTGGTTTGACTTGCGGACATAAACGGTGAAACGGGTGGCATTCCGGTGTAATTGATGCGTTGGGTATGCAATTATAGCTTTATCTTGTGAGTCAGGGGTTCTAATGAGGTGTTAGGGGATCTCTGAACTCCCATCAGGACTATTTCTCATATCTTTACTCTCAGTGTACTTCAAAAATCTAATTCAGAGTTTTTGTGTGATGAAAAGACGTTGAATCTGGGGATGACGTAGGCTGTGCACGGTTCAGCTGGAGGAACAGGGTCATGCCCTCATGATACATTTGTCCTGATGAAGGGTAATTGTGCTAAACATGAACTCTCTGCCAACTCCAGAGGGCTGACTCCTCTCTGACCACAAAGTGGAAAGAGATAAAAAGACTTAACTTTAATGCTGATTCTCTTTGAATGTGTACAACCATTTCTAACATAGACATTTAGTTATATTAGGTTTAAGAATAATGAACAACATCAACTCATGAATACCCTTAAATAAACAAGAAAAACCCTCCTGATTGGTCATTTTAACAGTTTAGTAGTCACATTGTAGGTCTGGACAGAGCATCCACCACAGCATACTGAAAAAACTTCAATGATCAAACTTGATTTTAACATTCACTTTAACCACTTTCTATGTGCTTTTTTATCAGTGTAGCAGAGTGTTTTACCTCCTTCCTGAATTCTTGTGACTAGTAACTAATTAAAGTATTTTTAGAGCAACAGTTACTTTCAAGGCAAAGATAAAAACATGTTTATATCAGCAGGATTTATGTCTGTACAAGTACTTGCCAGGTTTTTGCCAATTTCAACCCATTCTTGAAGCCGCCCTGAGGCTCAAGGAGTGGCAGACTGCCTGGAGCTCAAAATAGCTTCTTTCCTGTTGCCGGGGCGACAGGGTCCCGCCACTTGACATGGATGATGCTTGAACACATTGGGTCTATGAGGAAAAAAAAGATGGTCCGCTAAAGAGACAGCACTTGAACTTCCTTCCCAATTAAGGACTTTAAGAAGGCAGCTGGTCTGTTGTTTCAGGAAACAAGCGGCATTGTGGGTCTTGCAGCTGTGATCACCTCTGACGTCAGCTTATCTTGTACCTGCCGCAGGTAAAGGTGGTTTTCCATGTTAAAAATTGTGCCTCTGTATAAAGTTCTGAATCTTGTTTAAAGGTATGGTAGTTTCCCTTAAACTCAGAATAATAAATCACAAGGCTGAGACTAGAAGCTTATTTTCACATTCATCTGAAGGAGAAAAGTTTATTATTGCTAAATTATGATTTTATTAAGTGGGAATGACATGATTATTGCCACTCCAATAAAAACACATCACCTCATCTTTTGTTGAAAATAGAGTATTCTTACATATCGGGAGAATCTATTTTAGTTCTTTGTTTAATCTATTTTTTGACTAATTATCCTCCATGTGCCAGGCATGGATTTGAAGTGTTAACAGTTAGACCTACAGTGAGCGAGTGTAAAAATTAGACACCTGTTCCTTTCAGCTCTTTGTTTGCCTTTTAGGTTTAGTTAAACACATTATACAAAAATTGACTTTTACTAATTCACTTAAACAATACCTCCAACGCTTTAAAATTAACTTCATTTCAAAATAATGGAAAAATCCAGTTAAAAAAGTGCTTGTATCAGCAAAACCAAAGAGAGCTGACAGAGCAGTCAAAAAGTCAAATGCTGTCCAAAATGTTTAGCAAATGTGTCACTTACCATATTCACTATCTAGACTACATCAGCAAACAACAGCATATATTTCGTGCAACAATCAGCATTTGGTTTTGATTTTCATCATTCAGTTTGAGAAGCTAAATAACACCTGTTTATGCTTTGTTCAATATTTCATATTAATGTATTATTACTGAAGATAAGACTTTATAATCCTGAATTCCCCCTATGGGGATCAATAAAAAACTTTCTGACCTTGCTGAAAATACATACAATATTTATACCAGATAAACTTACTATTCAATAAAAGGCTAGAAGCAAAAACGATTACACTTCATGAATTAGTTTTTATTTTCAGTGCAATGGGACATAGTGTTGGTATAAAATGGTGATAAATAAGACAAAAGTTATGCAAAATATCCACAAAATATTACAAAAGTAGACAAAACTAAAATATGACATATATTGAATGTTTTAGTCCGCAGACTGATATCAAATATCACAGAACAAGATAATAGTAATGACCATACAGCATATTTTGTGTTTTTAAGCAGGTATGTATCAATGTCATATTTTCTTGTGTAAGTTGGACTAGAGTTATGTCTGAAGAGAAAAAAAAATGTCTAGATAACTGAATATATACAAAACACTGCAACTACTACATTCACGTACAGTATTCAGCACTTGTGCACTTATTATCGAATATGTCAGTCTAACATAGTGACTTGCTTATTGCTTATAATTCAAAGTACAGTTTATATAAGATAATAATTAAAGAAAACATCATGTCTGTATTATTACCCAGACTTCTTTCAGTTTGCAAAACAAAACCACAAAATGCCTGAGTGCAAAATTAACTACCTCTACACAGGACTTAAAAACAGCTTCATATCCAATATTTTAATGGCATCTGAGAGTTCCAGTGTAATTTTTCCAGCGTGTGCCTCTAAGGGAGAGTTGTTCATGCTCACTCATATTGATTGGCCTGTGCTCAACCTCAGCTTTAACCTTTGTACAACTGAAAGCAGTTGATTTTAATTCAACAGTTCCTTGCTTTGACTGTGTCATCATATGCTCGCTTCATTATGTGCAAATTGTCACTATAGGTTAAGTCAGTAGCCTTTGGCACTGCACAGCGCAGCAATTGGCTCTTGGCAAAGTCAGCGTTCATAGTCCCAGAGGGTGTGTGTGTATGTAGGTGCCTCCATGGGCTCAGGGCTTTTCTGTTTGTCATGTGTTTATATGCTGATTTCACATGATATGTGTCCATATATGTGCGTCAATTGTGTATTGATCCCTGAAGGGAAACTCTCAGTGGTCAAAGGTTGGGACCACATTGCAAAACAACGCTGCTGAAAATGTATTTTTGCTTCAGGGCATCTCAAGAGGGCAGATATTTCTTGTCACACATTATAACTTGAACCCTCCTCATTTACACTTGTAAGACAACTGTGCTGTACCAGAGATGTTTGTGTCTGTGTGTGCTACAGCATTAATGCCTGTCCTTTACATCCACACCTCACCTCCCCCCTGTTCCTTTACATGACCTACCCGGCGGCGTTTATTCATTGACAGCAGTGTTGGCCCTGTGGGGCAACGTAACCACGGGGCAGCTGCAGACAGAGATAAGAACGAGGTTTATTTTCCCCCTTAAACACTTTTCTTATTTAAAGGCCACAGAGGAACCAAAGAAGAGACAGTGTGGACTGTCAGACTGAACCTTACTGAGCTCAGCTGATGAATGGGTCTAAAGAGGCAGCTGGAGACAGGAGCTGGTGAATGGATGCATCTACTGTATGGGCTCATCTATTTCTCCTCTTGAGTTTAGCAGGTTTGATTTATTTGGCATTGTAAAGGTCTCTAATTGATGATCACATCTTTCAGCTTTGATCCCTGTCTCCTCCTACAGCAGATGTATGTTTTTTTTTCTAAGAATCTGAAATCTAAATCCACTCCTGATGTGAAGCTCTGCGCCATGCGTGGCAGCTACGCCTCCAGTGTGTGTCAATGTAGGTGTGAGTTGGCGTGATGCTTTGTAAAGCCCTGTGCACCCCTTTGAGAATTAACGCATGACACAAATGCAGTCTTTTTGGGATTCCAGATGCAGTCAACAACAAGGATATTTTTGTCAGACAAGCTCCAGATAGTCATAAATCTGGTCCTAATGTTGTGAAATCACTGACATTACATAAAGAACAACTGGTTGATGTTTTCTGTCATGCCTTTTTCCCATGGTGACCTTTTCCCTTGATAGTCCGCTTCCTCTTGTAGCTTTTAACCTTCTGCCACACTAAGTAATTACATGCTACTGGATGGTGATTAGCTAGTGAAGCAGTGGCCAACCCTCATCCGTCTTTTGTACATAACAGGGAACTGGTTGCTAGCAGTTAGCTGTAGCATGTAGCGTCATCATGTCAGATTACAGTTGTAGCAAGTCAGCACAGATGTGTAATTAAGGAAGCTGGCGCAGCAGAGCGGCCACTCAAAGCAATATCCCTCAGAGGATTAGTGCCTAAGAAATGAGGCATTGTCAATAGCCTACTTCACACACAAATAAAGAATCTCATAAAGTGTTTATCAAGTAGCCTACTTATGGGTGATGGATTGCTTGTTTATAAGATAAATAGAAAAGAAAAGAAAAACAGTATTTATTCAAATCTAGGTGCTATAAAATTCCGTAAATTTGTATTTTATATTTTAAAGGCAACATCCTACTTAGGTTTAAAAAACAGGACATGCATTAATACATGAAAAGAATAGTTTCTTGATTCATTTGATTGCTATTAATTTTGAGGTTTAAATGATGATCTTATTACCACTGTCATATATTTATGTTATAAATGTATTATAGCAGTTAGCTGTGCTTCATGAAACAAGAGGGGAAACGGTCTGGTTCTGTTCTGAAGAATTAGCTGGAGCCAAGTTAGCTTGCCCTAACATGAAGACTGAACACTTTTAGAAAAAAAAGCTAGACACGGTTGTCAGTATGTAGCTGGATTAAGGTTAGTTCAATTCAGCATAAAGGCTGAAAACAGTGAGGCAGCCAGCATGCAGCTAGGTTTCCTGGGGGAAAGCTAGCCTAACGTTGTTAATATGTCGCTGAGAAAGGCTAGCTTGGACTAGAAAAATCTGCAGCTAGCTTGGAACTGTCCTAAATAGCTAGAACCTGGTTAGCTCAATTTAGCAGGAACACTGGTTACAGGAGAAAAAGAGAGACAGAGTTGGCTAGTTATCATATAATCTTGTAAAACATACACATTTTTACCATGGATTAAAAAAATAAAGAGATATAAAATGTAAATTGGTAATGGTAGTAGTTAATGGTGGTTACCACTGAGCAGGGCTTACTGGTTTAATATGTATGCTAAATTTACTGTCTGGCTACACATTAGCTATATTACCATTGCAGATGAGAGTATCCTTCTTATGTACTGTAGACCTAACTGATTGCAAACAAAATTAAAGAAGTGTATTTCCCATGACTGAAGAAGCACAATACTGAAGCTGAAATGAATGAATACACTGAGCACTGTGTCAAACATCCCAAATTGAATAGAAGCGCTCAAAATGATGCCATGAACTTCATTGACGCGGCACAAAAGTTTTTCTCCGTAGTGACTTGTTGGTTTTAATATCTGCTCAGAAGGTGATTTATGACTACACCTGCCTTTGACCTATTTGAAGTACAGATTTAGGGACGCTAAGTAAAGATGCTCCTATTCTTAACATTACATAAACCAGAGATGAATGCAGTTGCCTTCCAAGACTTTCTGGCTCACTGTGACTTGTAAAGTTAGAAATTTATAGAACATAAAAAAAGAGGGCATGGCTGTTGGGTGTTTCTTTTCTTTTCCAACTCGATATAGGCTATGACTTTGTGTTCTGACAGTGGGATATTTTTTTATAGAAGGAAAAAAAAACAGAGATCCAGTGCTGCTTTCCTTTGCGGCTGTGACATTAAAGCAACAGGTAACACTCTCTTCTCATGAAACCTTTGCTGTCCAAGATCTGCAGTAGGATGTAGAACAGAAATATCTTCCTCCTTGTTGAGCGGCAACTGAAGCAATGCATCGCACAGGCATAAAAGCTCCTCTGCTTGTTGATGGATCCGGCTAATGCCTGTCTCTTTCTATAATTCCACAGTGACAGTTTAGTTGCTGCTCACTGCACAACCGAGAAAGGTTGTCACTGCTCAGAAAAGACATCCCCTATGGATCGCTTTCTGCTTAGGCTAGCCAATTAAAATGCTAGATTGTGGAGAGTGCTGTAGCAGCTGCTTAATACTCCTGCTTCTTAGACTTGCCCTCTGTAAAATCAGGAGAATTGAGAAGAGTCTGTATGTATGTACATTTGCTGCCTCTCTACTTGGCATTTAGAAGATAGGACGTCTGGTGTTTTCAGTAAAGCTGTAAAATGCAGTCAATTACTGAAGGGAAGGAGACGTTTTATGCCTTAGCTGGGATTCTTGCTTTGCCAGCAAATATGAATCTATATTTCCTAAACATATGTAATTCCAACTAATCAGTAGATAAAGTCTGATGTTACACCTTATTAGTAGATTATGTGTAAATGGAGGGATAGAGTAGAGGTGTGGGGGGTTTTAATCCCCATTAAATGAAGTTTAAAAGGTACTTCTACTGTGGATGGTGGCTAAGATTGTGGTAGGCTCAGCCCATTTGAAAACAACAAACATTATCCATAGGACACAACAGAGCTGCATGAAAACATATCCTCTTGCAGGCTACAACTTAAATTGCTAAGAGAGATGGATATTAATCAAATTCAATTCAATTCAATTCAATTTTATTTGTATAGCACATTTCATACAAATGTAAACTCAATGTGCTTTACAGAAGACAGAAACAAACACAATACAATTTCATTGAAAATAATAAACAAAAACAAAACAAAATAATAATAATAATAAATGAACAAGTGGATTCAAGAGCTCACTTTAAACAAAAACAAATTTGTATAAGGAGCATTCATCATCCCATACAACACACACACACACACACACAAAGATTAAATGTCCTGCTTTTATCACTGCAAGTTCTGGCTTTATCAATGCAGACTAAATAAAAGACAAAACAGAGAAAAAGTTAAAAAAAAATTGACTTTTCCAGGATTACTACAGTAAGTTTTGATTCATATTTTAAACTGTGTCAATCAGGGTCAACATGTTGAAATAATTTCCCATAACCGAAAATGGGCTCTTGAAACAGCTGTGGGTGTTGGAGAAAAAGGCTCTAAGCTTTTCTTTAATTGGATCAATGCTGTGTCTGCAGATAATTGACTAAAACACAGGACAATATGGTGAAATCCAAAGTGATAGAGAGAGAGAGAGAGAGCCAAATTAATTAAGTGTGAGTCAATTTTAGTCCCTACATTAGTTTTTATGCTGTTCAAGCACCACTGAGTGTGCCGCTGTGTTTTGAAACGTTAAATAGAAGCACAGAAAGGACTGTCATGTATTTCAAAGCTCCTTTCACTGGTTGCTCTGGCAGACAGAGACCTAAACAATAAAGCAACAATGCAGCATAAAACCTGCTCTTACTTAGCAAGGCCTTGTGTATCAAGCAACTGAGGGAAATTGTCAAATTATATCTGTCTTCAAAACTTATGTAGGTATACAGAAGTAATGTTCATTGTGAGGACACAAAAGCAGCAAGAAAACAGCCCATGGTTTACAGCAAGCCTGCTACTGGGGAACTGTCCGTGGTGCTGAAATCAAGGCTAACAAAGGCGGTTTAGTGTTGAATAAACAGTACAGTTCAAGTGCAATATCCACATCATTATGATCCTGCAAGAATTAATATTCTCCCACATTAATTTGACATTTAGTCACGTGGATCTCATGAGATGGATCTCGACCAGGCCAATGACTCACCTTGCATTTTAATCTAATATCAGTACCTTGAGATGAGCATGCATGTGCTGGTGATGGAACATGAGAGAGGGGGATGTTGAAAATACTGCAGTTTTTTTATTGGATTTTTCAATGGGTTCAATGCATATACACTGCAATATCCATACATAAGATAAGTGCTTTAACTTGAAGTATATATGTTTATCTATATAGATACAAATGAGTTACAGTAAATTCAGATGATCTCCCTTTAATTATATTGAAAGTTTTACAGCTTTGGATTAAGGGTCTTTTGGTAAATTTTCTACAAAAACAACATCAAACACATATTTATTTTCCAAGATTGCTTAGTCTTTCATTTGTGACTTGTTATGAGAAGTTGTAATGCAGCAGTATGTATGAGGTCGTTCTTAATCTTTTTTTTTTTTTACGATTATATTTATAACTTTGGCTTTTTTTCTGCCTTCATGCCCTCTACTATTATGCAACCTTTTTATTTAAATTCTACAGTCTGGACCTTTTATCATGGTTATGTCATCAAATCTAGTAGCAGAGGGTTATGTGGGAATCAATCCCTAACCTTTGTGCTCCTTTGAAAAAGCAGTCAGCAGTTTTAATATCTTCAGTCTGCGGTCCAGTTCCTTCAGTAGTCGGGACCGGCACCAGCAGTAGGAATCAGATGATGACACCCAGGGAAAATTAATTTAAGCTCCATATTGAGTCTACACCAAAGCCTGATTCATGTTTACTTTGAACTTGGGAAGTAATTTTGAATTAAATCTGCAAAGCTTTGACATGAGTTCAAAGACTTCAACCAACTTTGATTCTAGTGCAAGTAACAAATTTGCACCACACTTCATGCTGATGCATCCGACTGTTTTTTTTTTGTGACCCGGAGATAGATTTAAGCAAAAGAACCCCCCAAAAATATCCCAATTTTGAGTAATATTACTTTCCACAATGCTCCACTTCTTACACTTTATTCTTTTCTACCTTGCTTTACAGACAGTAACTTCCTGTTGGGTAACGCCCAGGGCCACCGTGGCTACCCCATCGTCTACTGCTCGGATGGTTTCTGTGAGCTGACCGGCTTCACCAGAACTGAAGTGATGCAGAAGAACTGCAGCTGTCGCTTCCTGTACGGGGCCGACACCAGCGAGCACATTGCCCAGCAGATGGAGAAGGCTCTGGAGGGCCGAGAGGAGTACCAGGCCGAGGTGCACTTCTACAAGAAAAATGGTGGGTGTAAATAAGGGTTGATTACTTGATCTTAGCGTTGTTTCATTTAGAAGTAGAAAGGTTATCTGGCAATTAACACTCTTTTTAACACTTGTTTTTATCTTGTAGCCTTTTCTTCAGTTGATCAAACTCTCAAGACATGTTTTGATCATGTTCTGGTTTGATCAGCTGTTCAGTTGTTGGAATGAAATGTAAACTGTTTTCTTGTTCTCCACATCAAGAAGAGCACATCTATTTTTGGTGAGAGCCGGGTCAAATTATGAATCCTCAGAGTGATGTAGAATTTTAAACACAGCAGGTCAGCAGTGCATTACATGCTCTTTATTATGAATACAAAACCCTTGGATAGAGATAAAATATTCAGCTGATGGGTTCTGCAGGAGAAATACTGCCTCAGTAATGAGCTTAAAGTCAGCCCCCTATTCAAATATTTTCAAAGCAAATCATATATTCCCGAAAACAGACAAAGTACTGTATATATCGTGTGTGTGTATGTGTGTGTGTGTGTGTGTGTGTGTGTGTGTGTGTGTGTGTGTGTGTGTGTGTGTGTGCGTGCATGCGTGGGGGGGGGGTGTAGAATTAGTCCATATTTTAACTAACTCCCTCTGACTTCTAGCTAATCTCTCTGTCAAAGCCTCAGGCTCAAAATGTCATGTCATGTATGAAAAGAGAACATACAACACTGTTTAAGCTTCTATGACTATTAACTAGCACACAGGATTATGTTATAACAGAGAGCCAAACCTGCAAAGTAAAGAACTGTTTATGATGCTGGAGGATTGGAGAGAGAGAGAAAGACTGACAAGCCAGCTTAGACACCTGTACAGGTGCATGACATCAAATGAACTGGCTCTGCCCCTCTCTCTCTAAAAAATTTTATTAGCTCACATATAAGAATACATCAAAATAGGATCAACAAAAACATAAAAGGTGTGTCAGGAGAGGTCAAGAAGCCAACAGGCTTATACAAGGGACCTCACCTCTTAAGAGACAAATAAATCAACTAAACAAATCGAAATCGAAATTACACAATTTCAAAACAAAATTAAATATAAACACATATACAGTAACCTATACACGTATTCATACACACACTTACATACAATAGAAAGACTGAGAATGTTAACCCTCTATCAGCTAAATGAAACAGGCATTGATCTATTAAAAATGGAGTGAATGAGTGGGTTGATGGAAAATAAATAAAAAACAAAAGAAATATATTTTATATATGCAAAAGTTTGACCTCATGGATTAAATGTGAAGACAGTTTCCTTTAAAAAAATCTCTGTAGATGAAGAGTTGCTAACGGCGTGTTTTTTGGAATTCCATATTTGTACCCCACGATATCTGATGAAAAACTGACCGTGTTTGGTTTTATAAAAAGGAAGATGAAGATGATCAATCTGTCTGGTAGAATATGAATGAATCTGGGAATTCAGTTTAAAAAAATGCTGAAATGATGATGGTAAAGAAAAAGGTATGAAAATATATTTATATATACTGTAAACACACATATCTGATGTATATTGACATCATAAACTGAAAGCATGTTTAGTTTTTTGAAGAGGGGGGCAGATGTTTCTGTTGCTTTGGAGAAAGTTGCCAATCTTACAAAACGTTTCTGCAACATATAAAGTTTAAGAAGGTGAGAGGGATAAGTGTTTGCCCAGACAATATTACCATAAATCAAATACGGATAAATCATCGAGTAATATAAAGTTAACATACAAGATAAATGAATAAAACTATGAACACAATCTGAACGGGGAGAGACACGGGGCAACGGGAGGAGCACTGACACAGTCAGAAGGTCATCACAAGGATAAAACTGTACAATTTAAATAAAGCATAATTAGATCATAATAAAATTGAGGATATGAATAATACAATAAAATGCACCCACATGCAGTAAGCAAACAAAATCTTCTCAAATCTTCTCTCATGTTGTTTTCGCACCAGTAGCTTTTTGCTAAATCATGACAATCTTCTTTCTTTCCTCCTTTTTTTCCCTGTCTTTGCCTCACACACACTTACGGAAGCTCACTTGGGACACACTGTAGGAGATGTGCGACATCTGTTTGGCGGCGGATAACATTTTCTACTAATGAGAGTGCCGGGTTATGGCAGGGTCTTGGATCTATTGGTGCTACTTTCTTGCTTGACTTGTCATATCGAACATCCAGCCCTCTCAGTTTCTTTTTTTTTTTTTTTTTTTTTTTTTTGCACAATCCTTCCTTACACGTTCCATATCTAACTTTTAGTGTATTTATAGAATCCCTGTGCCAGTACTTGACAAGGATTCATAGCTCAAAGATAGTCAGTGTTGGCATGACAAGGGGAAATCACAGGCCTGTTTTGAAATTTTGAGAGGCAAAATCAACGATCCTGCACTAAATGGACATGTCTGATTACGTTCCAGGTATGGCCTTCTGGTGTCTGTTAGACATTGTGCCAATAAAGAATGAAAAGGGAGAAATGGTACTCTTCCTCTTCTCGTTCAAGGACATCACTGACACCCATGGAAAGGGACACCACAACAGCAAAAAAGACGGTAGGTTCAAGCCCTGTTTACAAAGAAAATGTCATGTTACTTACTTGGAGGATGATTTATAAGCAGGCTGTCTTCTGGTCCCAGGCGTTCATTTTCTCTGTGCACTCCTGTTCATCACTGTCATAGTCTGCCCAGCAGTTTTGTTTGTGTTGGTGTTAGTTCACTGAACTCACTCTTTTTGCCATGGGGAGTTTGATTTGGGTGGCGGTGTGTCTTCAAGTGGAACCTGGGCACCGTCTGCCACAAATATCAAGCACCATGCCAGGGGAAATAAACTGTCCATTTGTTATAATGCAAAGGAATGACAGCCAATTACATTAGACAAATTGTGTCTTTGGTCTTACTGTAGTAGTAATACAAATCATTAACTTTGTGGTATAATTTATATGCTGACTGACAGTGACTGTGCAATAGGTTCAGAGGACAAGAGGCGCAGGAGGAAGAGCAGCACTCACTTCAGCGAAGCTAGGAAGCGAGGACGCACCATGTTGTACCATCTGACCAGACAGTTCTCGCAAGGAGGAAAAGGAGACGTCAACCTGGGCGGCGTGAGTACTTTTACCACTCTCACATCCTTCCTGATTGGCTGAAAAATGCTATGTTTTTTTTTTTTTATATCTTACATGATATGCCCAGAAAACATTGTAAGGAAGCCAAGATAGATATTGGAATAATATTTGTAAATCTCATTAGCAAAAAGTTAGCAAAAAAATGGTGCATTTCAAATTTAAGCAATGACCAAATTCAATTTAATAACTAAATACTCACCACCAAAGGTAAAAAAAAAAAGCCTATTTATTGTTGCCAGTTCCAAAATGTAAACCCCTGTTGTTTAAAGAGGTATGAGAATTATTTTGCTTGTTTTTTTATGTAATTTTAACATTGTGGATGGACCTATTGAATTTAACTCTGAGGCCATCATTGTCTGACAGTGTATAACCATGCCAGGACCTGCAACAAACATGTTTCAGTCAGCTAACAAATATAGTGTAAGCCAGGCCCAGGAGGCTTTGTTTGTCCCAGAGTGTGACTTTTCTTAGTGGGAGTTGCTGTTTGCTGTTTTAATTCCAATGAATGGGATACTGTGAGCTTGCTGTTTTGTGTTTCTTTTTCATTGAGTTGTTGCTTTTAAATGGACAAATACCAAGTTAACAAGGTGATGTTGGCTCTCACTCACATTGGCAAGAGTGAATGAATCATCATCACCTTTTTAAAAATAATAACTTTTAGATAAGTGTCATATTGTCTTTGCAGTTTCCTTTCAACGACCTAAAGAAACGTAACCGCAGCAGTTTCATTGCTTCTTGTCTTATTTCAAGAGAACAAAGTCTCCAAGAAAACTGTTATCCATGAGAACGAGCTCACGTTTAGCTCTTTGACACAACTGGACCAGTGGTTCTAGGGGAGCACCATATTCAGATAATTCCACTCGCTCCATGCTCCCTGCAGGGACTCAGCCACCAACTGGATCTGTTCTTAAAAATGTTCTTCACTTTGTGTTGCTTCTTCCCATGGGGCTAAAAGCAATTGTTACATTTCAGGGGTAAATTATAATAAAGCCTGTGAAATGTGTGAAACAGGCGGCTACAATCAACATATGAAAATGACAAATGCAGAGAAATAGACTTGTGTATTTTGGAGTAATTAATTCACCCTTTGGGTGTCTGAATTTAAAACACTTGTTCACTTTTTATCACTGAGCAGCACTCTTTTTCAGTATCCTACCGTTTTAATGGCATAACAGATTCCCTTTCTCAATGCTTGAACAAAACCTAGGATGTGGAAGATTAACGCAAGTCTGTGCCTCAAAATAAAGGGATTGGAATGATACATTTAGTCAGGAATGTAAAAAAGAAGGCATTTTGAAATGTAACATATTCACATGATATTAGGTACTCAAATAATGTAGCATTTACTTTTTTACTCTAGAAATTAGAAGTTAAATTGCTAATGCCAAAGCCAAAAAAATGCATATTTAAAAAGGTCAGTTTTGACAATAAAATAACGCCAATAACACCCATGTGCGCTCACATTTGAAATTAAGTATCAGGCCCATATAGTTGTCTGATAAGGCAGAGAAATGAATCCCCTTCTCCCATTTGTCAAACCTCCTGCTTCCCTGCTTCCAATCACACCTACTTACAGATGGTGCTTTTCCCTGACACCACATACACACACCTGTTCCAGGATTGCAAACACACAACACCCCCAAAGAAAACATTCACACATGTACAACAGACCGTGAAAGATGGCTTGCCCTCGAAGGAGAGTAGAGACAAACATATGGCCGAACGTCAACACAGTCTGAATCAGATGCAACAATATTTGTGATTCAATTTATTCCAGCTCTCCTAGCACGAGGCTGTAATTGTCACACCATCACAGTGTTTCTCAAACATATTGAGACATACAGTATATACACATGTAAGAAAGACAACTTAAGACATCAGATCCAAACAACCTGAAACTGCAAAAAATGTTGTTCCATGCAGAAAAGGACAGCCCTAATTTTACCAAATTTATCTGTAACTTAGCGACTGTTAGCATCTTAATGCACAACCATAAAGCACTATAGCAAACATTAAGAGCAAACGGAGCAAACCTGTGATGGTGCATGTTAAAAAATAATGCAACCTGCTTGTTTTTGAATGCAAAAGAAAACATCTGCTGTGGAGAATATAAATCAGATGTATTGTGTAAGGTGTTTCTTTATTCGCTTTTCTGGGTCTTTGACAGCTTGTCAAACTGGGTCTCGTAATTCTTTCAATTATGCTGTCACATGTGTCAAACAGATATGCAGGTTAAATGTAAATAAGATTCGAAGTGATTATGACATGCAACTCTTTTATAATAGAAGGCAGAAGTGTTGGCTTGTTCATATGCTGTGGTATTTAAAAGTATTCCCCACTTCATGTGTCTTAATTTATGTATTTATGTAAATATTTAGTTCACATGTTCATTAATCATTCCAGGTATCATTTAAAAGTTGTTCCATGAAATATAAAAGTAAATACACCTGCCAGCTGTTCTACACACATTTTCCCCCAGTGTAGGCATCCGTTTTGATAGAATGTCACTCAACTATTTCTTTTGCGCTCCTCAAATGGAACATTTAATATCATGACCTTATAAAATAGATTGCTGCTGACAGTAAAGTCTGCCCATTAAAGGGAAGAAAGTTTTGGCTTAACTGCCCTTAAACGTAGGCTACAGTTGGCCTTCTAAAGCAAACACAAACAGCATTTCTGCACTAAATTCGTTATACAGTTGAAACAATGGAGATAAATGTATTTAGACTATTTTAATTCAATTTAATATTTTTTAAAACTTCATAAAAGTAAAATATATTTCTACAAACATATTATATTGGCCCTGTCAAGGATTAAGGATTGTTTTTGTTTTCTTTTAATTATTTTTCATGTTTGATTGTGTTTTAATTAGCCTATTTGAGTCCCATGTATGAAATTACTCAAAGTCATGAAACTGCATGTCATAATTGCTCCTGAATTGCTCCAAAATGTCATCTTTGAGCTGTCTAAAACCGTCTGCAGCACAAAATATTAGAAACCAATTCATGTTTGTGAGATTTAAAACCAGGGTTGTTCTTCGCTTGATGGACGAAATGAATGGTTTGTTTTTTTTTAATTCATTTTCCCTCATAAAAAAAAAAAAAAAAAAAAAGATGACAATGAAAGGAGACTAGAAAAAATCGGACTAAATTCAAAACAACGAAACAAGTTCGTAAATTCAGAAATCGTTTGATCGTGTCCTAGGTCCTACTGCGGATTGTATTTGAACTGGGGGTAACCATAGCGACAGCCTATTTAGTTTAGTTTAGAAAGTAAGCTGAACTAGTTACGGGTTGTAGTAAATTTAATTAAAGTCAGCATAATAACGATAAAGCACATGGATAACATTTTCAGATTTTACGCTCTGAAGGTAAGTTGATATTGTTTTGTGGGCTACTTGTGTGCTGCGCAGTTCGTGGTCCTGACCTAAAAGAGCAATACATTAACATGAGTACTTGGTATCTATTGTAAACTAGTTAACCACTGAAGTTACTTAAGATAGTAATTAATGACTTGGAGGGAAAGCTACTCTATAAGCAACGCACTGTCCGCCAGAAACTTCGAGGCATGAGGGATTTAACTGTGTGTGAAGTGAATTGTCACTGCTGGAGATATAGACAAGTCATTACCACTCTCAAAGTTAGTTTTCATTATTAAAAAAATCAGAAAAAAAAAAACGTCGTGTAGGGCTTTTTTTTTCTTAATCTCTCAACCTCATCCCTTTCAGTTGTTAGACCCAAACAGCCTTTTTCCCCCATCAGCTGCTTTACACGTTTTTCTCTCCCTCTCCATCTGTCACTCTAACCTCATCTCCTTTTGGCTTCATCCCTCTACATCCTGCTGTCTCTCCCCATATTGTCTTCCCGTCGCTCTGTAGCCCCTATTTTCCACTATTTAGAATAATCTCTCCCTTCCTTTCGCCATTCCTCTCAGTTAAACTTTCACATGAACAATTATAAAGCCCTTGTAGGCTACTTAACCAGAGGATCACCCCCCCCCCCATCTACACCTCAGAAACTTTAACATAAAATGTATTTTGCACAATAATGCATGTGAAATGTTATCCAAATAATATTTCTCATGATAGGCCTAATTATAAAACTCCAACAAGTGCCAGTGCTACTTTTCTGCATGATGTGTATTTTTTACTTATAATACATAAAGCTTGTCAAACTGAAAGCACCTCTGGGACTTTATTGCTGGACTTCTTTTTATTACTTTTTTGTAATATGCCAGTCCAACCTAACTTAGGTAATGGCTTAAAAATACCTCTTCCAACATTGCCATCCTCCCACTCTGACTATATTTTTCCCATTCTGGTTTCCTTCCTCTCAGTCTGTCTCCTCTCCATCTCTCTCTTCCTTTGTCTCACTGTCTGTCTCACAGTAGAAGCTCACTAACAATGTGTTCATATTCCTCTACACCGAGGCCAGGCGTCTTCCCTAACTTTAAATAGGAGCACAGCCACAAAAACAGAGACAGAGGTAGAGATACTTTACCAATGGAAATCGTTTAACTGCACATTTTAACAGCACGTTGTGTACTGCATAGGTTTCAAACTTTACATAATACACTAAACGCCACCTTTCTCTCAGTGATATTGCAGTTTCACTTTTTCATTCTCATACTGACTGAGTTGTTGTTTCCTCTGTTCTTACTGTATAGGGCTGTCAGACTTATTAGTGTATTAGCTACTGCTACCCGTCATTAAGATCTAAACGTATAGTAATCTAACGTGCACATAATAACTTTAAGACTGAATTGAGATGAGTGGAATGTCCTCACACATGGGGTTTGTGGTATTTTACAGTCTTTCTTATGTTTTAATCCTGCTGAATTGTTGATCACAAATTATCCTAAGAAGTGATGTTTTGGGGTGTATAATTAAGGCAATTAAAAAAAAAAAAGAAGCCTATTCTGATCTCCAGTCCCATAAGCTGTGTACTCTCTTCTCCATTAAATACATGATTTTATCCGAACTCTTATCCCAAAGCATGCCAGTAGATGTAGTTGGAACAGTAAGCTCTGGGCTAAAGTGTGAGATAATGAAGTGTGAACAGCAGCTGTAGCTGTGTGGCATGCTGTCCCATGTGTCCCCGCTGTAGCTGAGCTTTTCTTTTCTAATCATTTGGATGTGCTCGGCCGGACTGCCTCCAGTGCTAAAGGTCGGGTGGGCGTCCTGACCTCTGTGATGTAAGGCAAATTAAAATCACTTGCAGCAACAGCTTCTACTGACGTGGCTTCAGCAACCATTGAGGTGTTTACAGCTCTTTATGACGGTCAGCAGGGTATTTTCTGATAGATTTTCCAAACATACTGACATCCGCAAAATGCAGATGATTGATGTCGAGCTACCACAATCGATACAGTTTTGAAAGTACAAGCACTATATATTAATATACAATATTATTTTGTCGGGAAAAGTGCTGTACAAATAAAGTTTGATTGATTGATTAGTGCTATTTTTGACCTGTTTCCTTTCCATCCTACATAGTTGAGTATGCCATTGTTCCCCTTGTTTTTCTCTTGATGATCATTGTCTCCCAATTATTCCAAGAAATGTAATTCCAGCTAAGGCAACCAGGCAGCTACAGAGCACTTCAAAGAAAATCTCAGGCAAAGACTCCATTAACCAGCCTCCTTGCTTCTTGCCCACACCTGTTTGTGAAGTGAGCTCATTGTTCTCGAATGGATTACTTCTCATTTATCCCCCCTTTTCTGTTTCCTTCCCACTTATCACCGTGTCTCACAGTGAAGGCTATTTTGTGCCAAGTGCTTGGCCCTATTTGGAGAGCTGCAGCCTCATTATGTTTAGAATGGACTCCTAAAACCCATCAGAAGGAGCAATTCAACTTTCTGCAATTGGATTTTTCCCAATAAAAAATTAAATGAGTAGAATAAATAGGCATGACTTCAAAAAAAAAATAAAAGCATCGATTGGTTCTTGTTCCCCTCATTTTTAGAATAATGGCTCAGCCGATGTTGCACCGGAGACTTAAAGCACTAATGGCGTTTTGAGGAATGAAGTAAATCCAAGGCCAAGTCATGAATGAAATTATCGGCGGCCATTCTTAGTATTAATTTTTCCCCCTGACTGACCACGGCCCTCTTTCGGTTTGCTTTGTTAATGCACGGCCTTATTAAAGGTTTATCACAGCCTATATGAGGCTGCCACAGACAGATAACCAGCTGCATTACCATAACTGTTTCACTTTAGATATCTAATGCACTGAATCATGAGCGGTCAGAGCACAAGAGAGGGCGCTGACATTTATATTGTCTGTTTCTGCAGAATCCTGGCACTGCCACCTCTGTCTGATCATTATTTATTTCCCCAGCACTCCACCTTGTGACCATCTGGTTGTCAAGTTATTCATTTATGCAGCCTCTCTAATGAGCTTTTGTATATTTATCAACTTAAGCTGTAAAAAGCTGGAAATTCATCAGCTGAAGTATGTGTGTATGTTAAATATTAATATTCCTCCACTTGGTCTTTTACAGCGCATGATGGACAAGCCTTCAATACCAGAGTACAAAGTGGCAGCAGTGCAGAAGTCACGCTTCATCCTGCTCCACTACAGTGTGTCCAAAGCCCTGTGGGACTGGCTCATCCTGCTGGCCACCCTCTATGTGGCTGTCACTGTGCCCTACGACGTCAGCTTCATGGCGTATGAAGACACACACTCAGATGCACGCTCAACCGTTGTCAGTGACATAGTTGTGGAGATGCTCTTCATTATCGGTGAGTGAAGATCTGGATTCCTGATTAATTGACTCACTCAATTATAAAATGGGTTCAAAAGGTGGTTCTACAATCATCAGTTTAATTTTACTCAAACAACTCAGCTAGAACTCTTCAAACCTGGATAAACATTACATTTCAACAAACACCTTACAGTACTACTTTGTCTTGCCCTATTGTTACCTATAGCAACAAGTTAACAACCCACATCCTTTTCCCCTGAAGGTTTCCCCAGTTCCAGGCAACCTGAGTTTTGTTGTCCCTTCAGGATCTACTGAGTCTCTCCCAGGGATTTCTACCATTTTATGATAGCTTTTTAACTTCTAATGGGAAGTGCCCAAGGAATGGATATATATGGCTGAACTATTGATATCAAACTGTTCTATATGAATCCATTAAGTGAAGATGAACACTTGTTGATTTGGCCTTGGGACAATAAAGGGTTTGTTAATTGTGATTTCTAAAACAACCTCATACAGTAGAGTACTGCTGTGTGTGCTTTCTAAAATTTCAAAATTTCTTTCTACCTTCTTACTTCTCATATACTGAAACTTGTGTGGAGTGATGAGCCATCATCTTGGCAAATATTGACAGCACAGATGATAGATGAGGGTTTGTTTCATCGGGCTAAACACACCCACAATTCTGCCTACTGGATGCTATTCACATTCTGACACAGACGGTAGATGATTGGTATTGCAAACTTGCTGATACTTGAAAACAATGACAAATTCCACCTGATTCATTTTGTTTACCTTGGTTTTGCTATGCCTTACCTTAAGCTCTGTAAGTATATAGCATTTCCTCAAATTTAAATTACTATCATTTTTAAGCATAGAAAAACATGAATGGGTATGTTGGGATACTGGAGATTTGTTTTTTAAGTAACCTGAAAAACATCAGTAATACTGCATCATTAAAAAAAACATAAAATAACTTTGATTATTAGATACATTTAATAAAGCGCATTTGATATTTTAAAAGTTCTTATTAAAGCTTGTGAGGATTTCTGGCTGTTTATGAAACTGACTGAAATTGATCTTGAGCTACAAAAGCAAACAAGAGCATATTTCTAGATTATTTTGAATGCTTTTGCACTGATAAGGGAGGTACTTGGCTGACAATTTTTCCAAAGGTTACACATTTTCAGAAATACTGTCAAAGCAGTACTTTACTGTAAAATCAGTTTAATTTTAAAAGTAACACTGTTATAACTTCTATTTTTCTTAAAATAGAGTCTACGCTTCTGCCTTTCAATCTCTCAATTTGCAGATATGATCCTGAACTTCCGCACCACCTATGTCAGCCAGTCTGGGCAGGTGGTGTATGAGTCACGCTCCATTTGCATTCACTATGCCACCACCTGGTTCTTTGTGGACCTGGTGGCTGCGCTGCCCTTTGACCTGCTGTATGCCTTCAACATCACAGTGGTGAGTACTACTATGTAATAACATGTTAGGCCTGCATTGCTTCCCTGCCTTCTGTGACTGCTGGCATGGACATACATTTGGACACCTGCTAAGAATGCAAATCCTCTGAAATAATGCATACTAAAAATAATTTATTCAATTTCCAAAGGCTGCCTGTCTGTGTGCTGAGTTCTTCCCACATAGTGGTTTTTAAACCAGATAGGCAAATTTGTTTGAGAAAAAACACTGCTTATCCAAGCTGTTGTACTCAGCTGTGTTAGTTTACAGTCAAAAAGGGTTTTCAGGTATACAAAGATGGAGGAATTCACTTTTTTATATCCCTTTGTCACTATACCCCCACATGTTCACCTTTCCTCTTCAGACCTCTTTGGTCCATCTGCTGAAGACCGTACGCCTGCTGCGCCTGCTCCGTCTCCTTCAGAAGCTGGATCGCTACTCTCAGTACAGTGCCATGGTGCTGACCTTACTAATGTCTGTGTTTGCCCTGCTGGCACACTGGATGGCCTGCATCTGGTACATGATTGGGCGCATGGAGATAGAGACCACTGACACCTGGGAAATCAGTGAGTCTGATTGTAGCTTCACAGAAATGTGTCCAGCAATGTCAGTAAAGGATAAATGATTTCAACGTTCTTATTGTTGTGCCATCATCTATTCATTGTCTTCGGACAATAGTATGCAATTGAAATATATTTAATAAATTATTAAACTGCTTATGTAAGACAAAGTGCTCAGACTTGATTAAGTCACCATATGTGCTGAGTAATCCGTTGATTCCTTGTTTAAACAGGAAAAAACTCCAACAAATAAGACCATAGTTTTCTGCCAATACAGTGAGTCAACATTTGTTGTGTCCCCACTCAGCTATAAATAGTTTGGCTAATCTATAGGGATAGTTCTTCTCACTGTAGAGATAGTGGTAAAGACCGCACTCTAATGAGGACTGTCTGAAACCAGATCAAAAGTAGATAGAAAAATGGCTGCAAGGAAGAAGTGCACTGATGTGTCGTTTCTGTCTCTGTTTGAAAAAGACTGAACATGGAAACCAAAAAGTCAGAAACTGGCTGTTGTTTCTTTTCCGTCAATAATTAGTATCTGAGTGCTGGTCTTATTGTTTACAAAAGTGCCCAGGAAAGATCAAAGTATTTATGTAACAATCTTCAGACTTTCATAATCACCAAAATGAATAGAAACAAGTGACAAGTTTAATCCTGTATTACAACAGCCTAACATGATTTATAAACAGAAAAAAACGCAACATGCAGTGACATACTGTGTGGCACAACAAATTATGCATCTGCTCTACTTTTCTGTGAATTATGAGTTATTTTGTGTTGGTGTGAGTATGTCTTTGTGTATTCTTTTGTGACAGTAAAGTCTGCCTTTGAGGAGGTAAGGTGATTTGAACGTCGAACCTTTGGACATTTTACCTCATACTATACTTTCTCTTACAAGGTTGGCTCCATGAGCTCGGCAAACGTTTGGATACGCCCTACATCAACAACACAGTGGGCGGCCCGACTGTGCGCAGCTCCTACATCGCTGCCCTTTACTTCACTCTAAGCAGCCTGACCAGTGTTGGCTTTGGCAACGTGTGCGCCAACACCGATGCTGAGAAGATTTTCTCCATCTGCACCATGCTCGTCGGCGGTAAGTCTTACACCAGGGCACACTCTCCCTCTGGTGTCCTGGCATAGTAATGCCTATGTTCAACACGATGGTGCAAGTATTTCTAGAAAGTGGGTTGGCTGGCCTTTAAGGCGCAGCTTGTTTCCATCTTTTTGTACTATTTTAGCTGAGGTGGCAATTAAGAGTATAACCGCCCTGAGGAAAGTTACTGTGTTCATTTTTTGAATCATGTCAGAACAGTGCAACAAACCAAGCTGAAAATAACTGTGGGCTACGTTCAGATCATCAAGAAAATAAAGCGTTACAAGTGTAGAAAACTGAGTAGTGATCAATAATAAATAATTTATTTTAAAACAAGAGAAGTCGCCTAAAGAATTATGTTTTTATTTTCTTTTGCAATTCAAGCCCCTTGGTCTAATAGGCTTAAAAAGAAATCTACAATCAATAACTGCCTCTCACACCATTTCTTCCCTTCTCTCACACAGCACTGATGCACGCGCTGGTCTTTGGCAACGTGACGGCCATCATCCAGCGCATGTACTCGAGGCGCTCTCTCTACCACACTCGCATGAAGGACCTGAAGGACTTCATCCGTGTCCACGGTCTGCCCCAGCAGCTCAAACAACGCATGCTGGAGTACTTCCAGACCACATGGTCTGTCAACAATGGAATAGATGTAAACGAGGTATTGTGTACATCCCTCACGTTGTTATCATGTCACACTCTTAAACATTTTTCTGCTTCAGGAACTTCCGGAAAATACTAGGATTCTATTTGAGCTCCTACATGCATTCTAAAATCCATCGAAAGCCCTGTGCAGCTGAAGCTGTTTCTGATCTGTCACAGACTATAGCTTCCTTTACGCCATCAATTGAAATGTTATTAAAATTCAAAAGAGAATAACTAGTGGCAACACAGTCCATTCCCTAATTACCAACCACTGTCACAGCTCATTACATCTGTCACACATCCCCCAGCTCCTACATGACTTCCCTGATGAGCTGCGGGCCGACATCGCCATGCATCTGAATAAGGACATCCTCCAGCTGCCTGTCTTTAAGGGGGCCAGTCGTGGCTGTCTGCGCTCGCTCTCCCTCCATATAAAAACCTCATTCTGCATCCCTGGGGAGTACCTCATCCGTCAGGGTGACGCGCTGCATGCCAGCTACTTTGTCTGCTCTGGGTCTCTGGAGGTGCTGAAAGACAACATGGTGCTCGCAATATTAGGTTTGTAATTGCAATGATGTTTAATGTTCATTTAGTGTAATGTTGAGCAAAAAAGTGAATTGTGCTGCTCTGTTTTTAGGAAAAGGAGACTTGATTGGCTCTGACCTGCCTGGAGCAGAGCAGGTGATCAAAACCAATGCTGATGTGAAGGCTCTAACATACTGCGACCTCCAGTATATCAGTGTGCATGGCCTCAAAGAGGTGCTGGCACTGTACCCTGAGTATGGCAGTGTGTTTGCCTCTGACATCCACAACAACCTCACCTACAACCTGCGTGAGGGCAGCCAGGATGAGGTAGGAAACAGACACACTCACAGGCAGAAAAAGTGGCGATGATGGAATGTGTAATTACTGTAAGGTTACTATTTCTCCCAGTCGTAACAGTCATCTATTTGCTAAAAGAAAATCTATAAATATAAATCAATAAATAAATATAGATTTTAATCCTTGGTTTGTGAACTAGTCTTTCGCAGACTTGTCAATTTTTTCACCTTTTCTGTTGGATGCAGGAGAGAGGGACAACACATGTACTATATCTCTATCCTGCTAGATCTTGGTTTTGGTGGTATAGTCAAATAAATGTAGCAATGCCCTAAAGCATACACTGGTTTATCACCAGTTTTACTCTAAATTAAACTTTAATATACAAAATGGACTTCAGGCTGTGTTGAATGAGACTTAAACTAGGAATTAAGACAGTAAACTCATTAGGAAATGCTTAGAAAGTTAAACAATCAATGAGTAGTCGGGTAATTTTCTCATCTAGTTCAATATGTTCAAACTTCTTTTTGTTACTTGCATATTCGCCCCCCAGCTGGCCATTAAAAAATACAGCTTTTGCTTGGCGATATCAATTTCTTAGATACAGCCTTTGGTTTAAACTCATTCTTCAATTCAAAATAATAATTTTCTCTTTGATTCTTGCTCAGAGATTGGCTTAGACCTAATACAGTTTCAAATCCACGCATGTGTTCAAGGCTTTTTATATTTTCACATTGTATCTCAGAACCTCACCATCACCCGCCTCCATTTCTCTCACCATGGACTTGAGCATAAAGCGCAGCAGACAAAACATTTGTACCCCCTAAGGTGCCTTTGTCACTCTCCTTGACACTTGTTCTACCACAGCTTCCAAAGGCCTGTTGGTGACTTGATTGTCACACCAATTACTGAGCGTGGGTTCCACTGTCAGACAGCCGTATCGCTTCCCTGTTGCCACCCCAAAGCACAGCGGGATGACATTACACCCAGACACCGACCTCTCCGTGCTGCCTGGTAGCCCTAACAGTTATTTAGGAAGCATATCGTAAGGCCAGATAATCTTTCCTCTGTGGAGAAAAAAAACACCCATTGATCTTACACATGTAGCCACGTTATCAGGCAGTGTTATATAATCTGTTTTAAAGATGCATCTCCAAACTATCAAATTGTATAATTTCCTTAATTGAAGCAACAGTGCAGAAAAGGTCAGTGGCTGTTTTGCGTGGGACTTTTTGAACAGTCGGATCAAGACATTTACACTTGCTTTAAGAATTTCTCTTACTGAAACAAATTTTAAATATATTTTTGTTTGTAGTTTTTTCCATATTAGAACCTAAAGAATATGATCTCTGTCTGGATGTGCTCATTAATGGATATGTTTTTCATCAGTCATGCTGCCAGAGACCAGCGTTATATGTGTTATAAAGGGCTTCAAAAACAGAATGATTATGTTTGAAGTATTTCATTCAATAGCAGGTCATAGCAACATCATAGATTCGGCTTTGCACTTAACAGAACCCATGCATATGTGACAGAAATCTCATTATTCAACAAAGAGTTACTTCTGTATATTATCTAAGAATCCTACTTGCTTTACAGACCATTAGTATTATATATTACATAAGAAATCACTATTATCTGCTTTTATTTGAATGTGAGCAGGCTGGGTTGACCATGAGTTCTCGCTCTCTACATCTCTCACACCATCTGCTCTGAGTTTATAGCACAAAGCCAGGGCATCAGCGCCTCCCTGAAAGGATGAAGGAGTGCTCAACAACCTGGAGCTGCCAAGTCCCACAAACCATGATAAATACACACACATATATACAAATGTATGTTCGTAGTGGTCTCATCTCCACATTGGGTGATTTGAGTCGGGGCTTCTTGTAGGATGGAAGGTCCTTTTACTCCGGAGACATGCTCGCTGCTGACAGTACACCAGTTGTAGTGAAATACTGCCTTTAAAAGAAATTGTATCAGGAGTTGTAAGAGACCAAAAACAGAGCTTAAAGAGAAAAAAATCAGGGACTTTTCTTTGTAAGGCAACTGCAAGCGTTGTAAATAAGTGGTGGCTTACAAGTTTGCCAAATAAACTTCGAAGGTATTGATACTTCGATGTTGTGATAGCTGATCTAAAGTGGCCAAAACACCAGCTATTGCAGATTACAGGTTGCCGGTTTGATTATAAGGTTTGCATTTAGTCAAAGACAACAGAGGCTGTTTTCTTAAGGGATGGACATTTTTGCACAGAAGAGAAGTGACTATACTATCCCAGGCAAAGCGGGAAGGTCATTCCACCACCTGGGAGCCAGCACTAAGTCAAAATTTGTTGGGAGTGTAATCACCACACGCCTCAGGGAGAGCTAAGTAGTTAGTTGTCATGCATTGTGAAGAACACGCTGGTCAGTCTGGAGTTATAGGGATCAATCAGCCAACCCTAGGAGCCTCATATAACAACAGTTCAACTACGTTGTTTTGTTTTTTTAAACAACCACTGATAACCAGAGAAGGGAGTGCTAGGAGGAGATCATCAACATCTATTATCATGACTGACTGGATAACAATTCTGACCAGGATTGGACTGAATGACTGAGAGGAGATGACTAAAACAAACCAACTTTCTCTAGTGGCTTTTGTCACAAATGTCACACCAAGACCAGTCTCTAAAATATGTTGTGATTATAAAGCCAGGCTCTGCACAATAATGCTTCTTTATCTGCATATCACCCCCCTGTTAATGGTCGCTAAAAACGTAGGAGTTTGGTTAGTCATGCCATTTTGTAGTAACAACAATGTTTGCTGTGTACCAAGAGAAAAAAATATTTATAGTTTTAAGACAAATGCCTCTGTTCATTTAGAAAAAATAGCACATTTGTGAGTGACAGGAAAAAAGTCCTTCAATTAAGTCCCTGCAAACCCACTCTGCAACGAGGGACACTTGGCGTATTAGTGCTCTGTTAAATGATATCTGAGTTCAATTAATGTCATTTGGCACCAATCTACCATTGATGGACAATCATTCCATCTTGCTCCCAGGTTCATTTTACTTACGAGGAGAATTTGTTCCTAACTTGAAAAGGCTCACAGATTTGTTTCCCCTTTTTCTCTCCTGTATCACCATCTGAAGAGATGCAAAGTTTCACACGTAGTCATGTATTCACTTTAATAGCCTTATGGTGTTTATGATTTGTGTGAAGGATTCAATTGAGTGCACTACACTGAAAGTGTGACAGACTCTGGTTTGTACGACTGTCACATTTAGCCATGTTGTCAGAGACACATTTTTCACACAGGACAGAAGAGTTCACACTACCACAGTTTCATTTTCCATGTAGCTGGTGATTATGCCAAATGACAATCTGCTTGCGGAAAGACAACTGTCATTGGAATCCATCTGCAATCAGATATTGAAAAAAACGATGTCTTTGATAGCAAAGGAATAATACAGCTCAAATGATCAAAGATGGTTTGTATTTCATGCAGATGTAATGATGGAAAGTTACCACAGAATTGTAGTTATGCTTGCCTTCGGGCTCTTGATCAGTAAATTATGCACACCCATGAGGACCCATTCAGAGCACAATCCTACCAATGGTGTCGCACTCATCAACGAGTGGTAATAACACAAAGATATGCTGCACTGTGTCGACAAAGACAGAGAGGAAGATGATTTACAAATAGTAAATATGGATGTTAATAATTCTGAATATTTGTTAAATATGATTTCAGATTATTAAGATTCAAGATTAACTTTATTGTTTCATATAGAGTGAGACATTTTTCTAGATGTGCAGTTGCATTCGAAACACCTCAACTATACACGTTTGATGAGAGACACTGGATATAAATCAAACTTTTGTTTTAAGAAAGACCTCGCGGATCCTTTAAGTTACCAAAGTTTTCATTGTTTAATGTCTCAATGTTAACGAATATGATTTAAATTTGATTAAATAAATGTAGATTTTGCCATATCGTTATTGATCCTTGTAGCTTTGTGTTTCGTTCCTGCAGGGTCTCAGCAGGTTTTCAAGGTCACCCAGGCTTTCCCATGTGAGTTTAGTTCAAATTGAGCATGAGTGTCTTTCCTGTTCATTTCACTTTTTTAAGCATGCATGTATCCGGCTTTCAATGTGGAACCCCAGATTTCTTTCTGGGACGTGCTGCTATGCTTGTGATTGCTGTGCGTGGGTTTGAGCGAGGACTTCCCCTACAGGTTGAAACTCATTTGGTTCACATAGAGCAGCTTAGTCCCTGGAGTTAGCTCGCTAACTGGGTCAGTAGCTCTCCTAATAGGAAATCTTATGAGCTACTTTCTCACTACTGTATGTTCTGCATGCTTATCTCTCTGCCTTATTTTTCTTATTGAAATGTTAACAGTATTTGTTTGGTCTGTTATTAAGAGGTCAACTTAATATAAAACCGATTGTTTTTGCCCCAAGCACACACACAGCCACGATTAGATCTTCTTCAGGGTTTGTGTTTTGATAAACAAAAACACAAATAACGCCGTTTTAAGTATTTCCCTCCTCAGTAAAAAAAAACAACAAAAACTAATTACATTATCAATTGTGCTGTTGCTAATGATTTTAGTTGTATTTGCTTTTTTGCAGGATCCAGACTCCCCTCCATCATTGAAACAAAGGGGGTTGACCCTGATGACTCCTTCCACCTCTCTCCAGCCACCCGCTCCCGTCGAAACCTCCTGCTGCCCAACTTCAGCAGCCCCGTCCGCCGCACCTCTCTGGGAAACCTCCTTGGGGACGAGCTGAGGCAGTTCAATGCGCTGCGAGGCTGCCGTCCACCAAACCTCAGCCGCGGCTTCCATGGGCAGAGCGTATCTCCTCAGCCCCCATCGAAGAAAGAGCACAGCCACCCCACAGCTGCTTCAGCTTCAAGTTCAGCCCAGGTAGAGTCCGGGGCTGAGCAGAAGCCTTCGCAGCTGCTGATACCAACTGTCACCTGCTTTGCCCCCCAAGATCTGAGCCCCAGGTATTGTGGAATCTATCAATAATCCATCAACATTTTAAAGCAAATTTGTTTTATCGCCTTCATGATGATACCATGGGTATAGGAGGTTTTTGTGGTAAATATATAAAAGAAAAGGGGAAAAAGCTGTTTTTGAACAACCAAATCAGATACAAATGACAAATTCTGTCGAGTACAACCCTAATAGTTACCCAGTTATGACACCTTTAAAGCGTCTACGATTTTTCAAGTAGAGTGTCACAGTAATGGACACCTAAAGTCATGCTTTAAAAAAAGCTGCATCATCTACTTAATGTAAATGGGGTGTATTTGAATTGCATATTTCAGCAGATGTCAGTGCATTTCATTAATAGAGCACCTTATCCTCCTGCCCCGATCTGTATTCATAATGTATCCCTGAGTCATCCAGTAAGTCCTGGAGATGGGTACATGCTGGTTCAGAGAGCTCAGGTGTCCTCCCCTCCAGACTGGATGCTTCTCCTCATGTTCAAGCCCTCGTGTTCCTCTGCCAGCAGCAGCTCTCATGGCACATTCCTGGGTAGCTGCTGGCTCTGGTGATAATTGAAAAAGGCTCTACTGTAACATTAACTCCGGGTTCCCTCCTCTTCATCCCTCCTGCCAGGGTGGTAGACGGCATTGAAGACAATGGGCACACGTTCCATTTCAACGTCGAGCACAGCCGGCCCAGAGCCAGCACAGGAGGCAGTGCCCAAGGTAAGCAGGACCGCCTCCAGCTGCGAAGGTCACACGGGTGCCAGATGGCCCGAGAGTTCAAACGGCGGATAGGACAACGCTGCGCTGCCTCCTTCTGGGGGAATTTGAGAGCACAGAGGAGTGAAATGACAGCAGGGTGCCCAAAGAGTGAGAGAACATGTTAAAGGACAACTCAGGTCAAGGCAGGGCACAGATCTTGTGACCTGAGCTTTCACTGATGTTCACTCTTGGATGAATACTGCATGCAGTTCAGCTGAAGTCCAACTAATTAACCAAAGTAAATCAAGAGCCTTAGCAACAAAGATGAACAACATTGCACACTTATCACAATAGAGCATTTTTAATATTTACAGTGTTTTAAAAATCGTTCATCCTACAGTGCATTCTTTTGCCTTTTTTTCTGTGCCTCTTTTTTTTCACTAAACAGCCGTCGGCTTTCATAACAGCCATGTTTTAAGTCATTACAAGCTTCCCTGTCTTAAAAACAGGAAAATGTAGCTACATCACTTAGTCAAGACACGTTTCATAAAGCTTGCAAAAGGCATTTCTTATGATATATCTACACAAACAGTAACGATAAACATCACAAACCCAATCCATTAAAATAGCTTCTTTGGGAAAAATTAGCACTGTTACCTTAGTACACTGTATAATATTCAAAGGTTTTCTTCAATGTCTCATATGGGGCACTCCAGTATTTAACACAATCTTTAAATTAGCCATTTAACTAAAACATTTCTGGTTTAGTGTGAGCAATTATGGCATCAATTTGCTATACTGTATCCACATTTAGAGGCTGTACAAACATGCATACATTACTGGATAAATGATGTACAAGACGATACAATAGACTTTGTTGTGCCCATAAGGAAACTTGTTTGGACTTGAATACTGCTGTATGAACAACTTAAAGTACTTCCTCATAATTAATTTGTAATCAGGTGTCCTCTGGAGTATCACTTTATAAATTTGTTTTGTGATTATATTATGTCTAAATTCTTTCATCTACTTCGTTTTATTCCTCCTCCTTTCTCCAGACACGGCTCAGGCTAATGCCACTCTGCTGCAGGAGACAGAGGAGGTCAAACAAAGCATCGGTCAACTCAACTACAAGGTAAGATACAGCCTGTTAAAAATGATTAGACCAATGAAAATGTTCAATCCCTCTGTGTCATCTTTCTGTAAAGTATTCTGGAGAGACGCAATATGAAATAAAAGAAGCATTGACTAATTCATGGTGAGATAAAAATAAACATTTCAAAGAATCTGTACACAAAAATAAATTTACATTTTAAAATGGAGACCAACAGAAACGTTCAAGCTTTTCTATGTTTTAGATTCCTACCCAATTATCAGCCTCTGGGAAACCTACAATGAGATCAGATACACAAAGTTTCTGCCTTGCTTTCCGTCATTGGATTTAAATAGAGCTCAAGCAGGTGCAGTGTGAGGAACCAGATGGGACCAGGTAGCTTTTGTCTGAAGTCGATATTTATCAACCAGCAGGACACTTTCTGCAATGCAGTGCAGTGGATCGCCGGGAGTGCTGACTAGACAATCACAGGAACAAAAAAATATGACGACAGCCTCGCGCTGCTTGTTGCCCTCCTCTGGCCCCCTTTCCCCTCCTGTTCCACTCCCTTGTTCCTGGTGTTCTGTCTACTTTCTTCCCTATTTGCGTCAGTTACCTCTGCCTGGGTCCCTCTGGATTTCAGGACTGCAGACAAAGCCATTTCTAGGAGTCACAGAGATGATTATAAATTATTTGGTCCTCTCTTGGAAGGTCATCAGAAAATTACTTGAGTCTGGGATTAAACCTCACAGATAGAAGCTGATTTATTTGTCTCTGTGCTGGGGGCTAAATTGGGAAAAGCTGTGCTTGTGTTATTTTCCACATTTGCTCAATTTTTAAATTGAAAATGCGTTCTTTATTTTTTCCAGATGGGCACCTTACACAAGGAAGTATCAGATCTTAGGAAAGACCTGCACTACATTATCCACCTCCTGCAGGTCCATGTGTCTCAGCAGCACTACACCAGCTCCCAGCCTTCAAACTTGTGCGGTGTAGCCCCCAACACCAGCATACCCTTAAACCTAGCTCCAACCTACCACTACCACAGCAATCCTGGGAGACATGACGGCCACCAAAGCAGCCCTGCTGCTGGATACTGTAGCTACAGTTCAGCAGGTGAAACAGAGACCAAACACAGACCCCAATCCTCAAGTCCACCTGCTCCAGCCCTCTCTGTAAACTCTGCATCCAGGTTGGCCCATGTCAAGGCTCTGAAAACACAAACCTGTGGACCGGCCCATCTCTTCTTAGCGTCAGCCCAGGCTTTCAGAGTGGAAGTCAATGCCTGGCACCTCATGAAGACTCTGAAAACAGACCTCTCTGTGCGAGCCCTAGCAGCATCAGCCAGTCCCAACCCACTCTGTGCCTGCAGCCTCCCAGTGAGAGCAATGAATTCTCTTGCCTTTTGTCCAGTGCATCTACAGGTGCTTCCACACACAGCCTTCTGGACTCGTCACCCAGTTCTTACCCCAACCTCTGCCTGCCCTCAGAGTCACATCCGAATAATCTTATCCAGGATACCTCTATCTTTCAAACTGAGGACTCAAACCCTTCAATCCATTCTGCGTCTGTCTCTCCACAAATATTGCCAGGCCAATCTCTCAGATCCTCCCTCGATTCAGGATCACCTCTGGGTGACCCGTCTGCCATAGAACACACCAGTCTGGAGTGCCTACTGGGAAACGGGGGGTCTACGGAGAGCAGAGACAGTGGAAGTGCGTCTTCTAGAAGGTCCAGCATCGGCGTGCAGACTCAGAGCACAGAGCAGTCATGGTGTCTGGACCTCACAGATTAAACACGTTTCGGGGGGCAGACTCACTGATATCACTGCAGCTGGATGAAAAACTCAAGTCACTTAAAATGCAACTTCTTCAAGTGTTTTTTTTTTTAAAAACCTCTGTGTGCTGTATTTCCTTCTTTTAATCTGGGCTCTCATGTTGTTCAAACACTGTTTCTATGCAAAAGCATGTCATTGTGCATTGTCTAAGCTTTACTGAAGTGTGTCTTCAAGAGAAAAAGAGAAAGTTCCACAGCAGTGAGTTCCAGTCTATTCTGTATATTTTTTCCAAAACCCTTAAAGCATTTTGCAGTTGATACTACTTGTTACCTCCTTGCATGGTAAAGTTGTTTATTCTTTTTCCTAAGGAAAAGGTTTCAAAATCAATGTGTAAGCATTCTACATGAGAACCTGTTGATTGTGTACACAGATGCTGTATGTAGACAGGTGATGTTGGATGTTTAAGATACATAAGAAACCAAGGGGAAGAAATGACATGTGTGCATCACTTAGCATTGATTGGTTTTTTTTTGTATTGAGTGTTTTTTTCTGTTCTGGTTATTTTTTATGGGTTAGCCCTTTGATTAGCTGAAATTCTAACTAAACTAAGCAGTATATAATTTATGATCTTGAAGAAAATCTCCAGTTTGACTCAATTCTCATGATCCTGCAGGACATTTAAAAAAATGTGTTTCTTTCTTCACTAAAGCATTCAAGTTTGCACTTGGAAAAAGATTTAATTTCTCACTCCCCCCCAAAAAAAGAAACCCTTCTCTTTCAAGGATCTACAATTCTATGAACACACATATATGCTGCTAATGAATACAAATAAATAAATATAAACTTTAAGATGAAAAGCGATTTAGTACAGTCATTAAATTACAAAGTGTGAATGCCTCCTGTGAAAGCATACTGTCATTAAACTCATATTATTAAGTAAGTATTAAGGAACTTTGTTCTATTTGAATGATTTCTACTTGGCTGACTCAATAAAGTATGCAGAAAACTATCACTGTGTCCTTTACTGTGGTGTCACACGTATCACACTTTAATTAAATTTTTTGTGGAATATTACATTTTCTATGAACAGCGACTGCAATGTCAGTCAGGATCAAGTTCAACGCTTCATTAACAAAATAGTTTCTGCTCTATTTCTGATCATTCTTCAAGGTTTTGCTTTTCCCTGTGTTAGCCAAGGTGCTCTATTTTTTCTCAAACGCCAGATTATTACTGCATTCATGTATTTGGTTGCTGGTCTGTTCAGTGAATTTAACTGAGAACTGCAGATCAATTATTTTTACGAGTATAGACATGTATATTTGAGTCTCTTACTGTAGAGGCTAGAGAAAATCACTCAGTACAGTCCTTCATCTTTCACCCTGGTTCTTGTAATCAGGATTATCAACTACACGTTTAGAACTAAGCAACAAAAAAACCATGTTTTCTGAATAATAAAATGAGGTAACCCTGTATTGATTAACCAAAATCATATCACATTTGTCAACCTATTAGACAGGTCGCCTTGAGTTTAGTAAAACTGTTTCAATAAAAAAAATAACTCAAAAGAAAGAGATGGACCCAGCAAGAAAAATGCTTTAATAAAGTACAGCACATGATTCAGTCAAAACAAATAATTACATTTGTCCCTACGTATCGGGTCCTCAAGTTTAATATTTAACTTTTTATTTAGTAGGGAACGGCAGCTACATCGATTAGGTTATTGGCAAGTTGGGAGAAAATCTGGTGAAAAACAAACAAAAGTGGGGGAACATATTGCATCATACATCCAAATCACTTTGTGTCTGCAGCGTCTTTTCTCGGAAGAGGTTAAACTGCTGAATCATCACAGGTGAGCTGTTACGTTATAGAAAAGTTTGAGAACATTATTAAAAGCAGTCTTAACATCAGTAAAGTTACAGTTAGGAGACGTGAATTAAATATGATTGAAACAATACTTCAGTAATGTAATGAAGTAGCCCACTGTGTTCAGCTAAAATCATATTTTCATCTTGACTCAAGTGGGTTCATCACTTTTTTGTGTGTAGTCACCGTTTCCTATAAATGAAAGTCAATATTTCTGAATTCTCTATTTTACCATTACTTTTCTACTGTTATGAATTTATGAATTGATTACTGTTGTTGAAGATCTCATGCGGAAAAATACTTTTTTAGAGATAAATAGTAACGTGAGTAATGCTTTAAGGCCTACAACTTTTTTGTATAGGCTAACATATCCTTGAAATTCGTAGGAAGGTTACTTTGAAGCCTCTCTTATCAGAGGCAAATATTGTACTTTTGACTCCATTACATTAGCCCTTTAGTTACCGGACTGAGATAATTAAACCAAAAATAATAGATAAATTATAAAGAGGTTTTTTTTCCAGGTGGAGGTAGACTTGTAAGATTACTACAGTGTATATGTTGTATACAAATCTCAGCTGTGCCCCCAAGAAATGTCATCTGTTTATGCAAATGGCCAATAACCACTGATTTCTTAATACATTGTGGTCAGTTTATTGGTTCTAGGTTTGTTCAACAATGTCTGCTCTTTTCCTGGAGTGAAGATCTGAAAAGAGCAGACTTCTTCCCTGCTTTGGTTCTTTCTGTTTCATGGCTTTACTATAATTTCTTAAAACTCCCTTCTTCATGAACACACTTTATTTTTTTTATTGTTTTGCATTTCTTTTACACTTTCTGTCACAAACTTATTTTGTTTGGATCTAAGATTGTCTTCATTCAACACGCAAACTTTAGGGAAAGACATCAAAACTCACGGTCGACCAAAATTGTTATTTGCAAGAAATTTCATCTCGTCTTCTTGCAAAAATTTTCAATTAAACAGCACTGAGCTCTCAATATATATTTTCAAACGAAAATAAAAAATTTAAAAAAAAAAGGAAATATTGGAATTTTATTTGGAAACCATTTCATTTTCAAAGTTGTTGATGTGTTATGTGCTCTTTCTCAAAGTATAAAGAGTAAGGATTAAAATGAAAAGATCAAACAGAACTTGGCGTACAAAGTAGCGACTGGTTTGGTTCTCTTTCAACATTGCCTACAAATATTGGCAAACATCACCTGTTGGGAAACTATTTGTGTGAGTCCATCACTCGCTCATATGTCTTCATGCAGGAAAAAACATTGAGGCTTGATTGCTCAAATTGCTCGGAGGACATTTGATTTTTTAGAAACATTAGCATTATCGGTGGGGTTTTCCAGCAATCATGTCTGTTGTTCTGTCACTCTGTGTGTCAGAGAATCATGGTAAACAACTATTGAGTAAATAAAAGACTGGATTTGCATGGATTGCACAACATAAGTCCAGATAAAAGGGACTCAGCCTGGCAGCACAGCACATTGTCAGCTCCAGCAGGACAATTATCTGACTTTACTCGTAGAGATTGGTGTACTGGAAACGAGAAATTGAGTGAACATGAAGACAGTTGTTGTTGCTCTTCTAGTGTTGTTGGTTATCAGCCAGGGTGAGTAAATCTACAGGAAACACACACACACACACACACACACACACACAGCCAGGAAACTATTTTACCACACAAATCATTCTCAAAACCAGAAAAGTCTTCTTTTAAAAACTTTTGATTCGTAATTTCCAAAGCTTTAAGATCTTTTTTTTTTTTTTTTTTTTTAAACTGAAAATAAATTGCCAGTTTGTATCCATCATTTTACATTTTATTCTCAGGGGAATCTTTGCAGTGTAAGTGTGGAGGCCCAGCACGTCCCTGTCCGAGCCCTGTGGAGACCTGCCCTACTTCACAGCCGTTTTGCGGCAATGTAAGGATTCCTTCTGCAGCACGTAAGTACAAGTAGTGCTCTCTTTCAATGTACTGAACAGCTTAAAAAGAAAAATCATTCAGAGTGCTTTGTTTACCTGAATCCTTGTAGAAGTTGCCTGATAATCATTTTTTTGTTTTATTGTGTTTTGCAGCTGGCTTCTTCTACCAAGGTTGCATGGAACCAAGGGAGTGCAGAGGGCTAGATAATCCAGGCATTTCATCTACCACCTGCTGCACCACCGATCTGTGCAATGCATTTGATGGTTTAAGGTCAATAATCTGAAAAATCTTCTCCTCAAAATAAACATCAAATAAACTTCAGTCACTTGCAACTTTCCCCTTTTCACTTTGTTTTAATTGTTTATTTTTCTTATGACTTTACTGGAACAACTTAACTCTAAATGTTTGTGTTTTGTCAAAAACTATTCTTCTGGTTTAATGGAAACTATATTCTTATAAAAAGTGGTGTTAGCACTTCCACCATGGTTTAAAGTTCATATTAAAGGCCACTCTGAATATAACAGTTTTACAGTTATAATTATGCTTTCAAAAAAGTACAATCACTTTTAATCCTTACATTTATTTAAATGATATATACGATTATTCCTGTGCATATCATATGCAACTGATTGTGCTTGTGCTCACATGCTTGATGCATGATATTTTTTTTTTTTTTAAAGACTGTTTTTGGTCAAGAAAATATTACTGCTGACCTAATATATGTTTTCTGTTTTGTCATTGTGCCACCTTGTGGTACATTACAGACTTACTGAGTAAAGCATTTAAAAAACAGTGTTAGTCACAGTGTTTAGTTTAGTAGATTTCACTTTAAATTTTAGTCAGAGCAGCAAGTTTTATAAATATATATTAACAACATTGAACCGACAATATTTTAAAAATCTTATTAATCACAATTTAAAGCTTATTGGAAAGAAAGTGTGTAATGAATAGGCTACCATCTGCAACATAGCCTATATGTTCACACGTCATAGGCTAATTCCCAGAATGAAAATAAACAATTATTATTAGTGGAAGTTTAGAAAAAATATTTTAGAAAGTTATCCTTTAATTAAAACGCTCTTCCAGGTTTTTTTTTTTCTGAGGGCTAAAGTTGCATTTAATCGTTTTGCGCACATGACAGATCTGGTCCATGTGTTATGGTTTGAAAATGTTATTATTAAAAGTAAACTTCAACTAGGAAGCCTATGAGCCTAAATAAAGAAAAGATCGGCCTACTCATATCCAGTGGGCTACAATGGAATGCATAAAAAGTCAAGCAAAAAAATTGTGAATGCAAAAAAAAAAAATCCAGCAGTGGCCTCTGTGGGACTCCGTAGTCGTCTATACAGTCAGTTAATAATTTCAAATATCTGATTTGTATCATACAGCCTGACGGAATCTCATTAGAAGAAGAAATATCTGATGTAAGGTAATGACTCATGAGTTACCTCCAGGTTACGTCCTAAACGCTGTGCTCCTCGAATCGACTTTCCCTCTGGGATTAATAAACTATTTCTGATTCTGATTCTGACGCTACACTATCCGGCCACATGATTGGTTGTGACGTTGCATCACATGACAGACGAATCCAGGAAGTATTTTGGTTACACAAGGCGGAAGCGTACAATTTACTAAACCTAAAAGCGTTTTTAGGGGGAAAACACCGTAAACAAGAAGCGAAACAGCTGCAGCGCAAGGTTTCTAGGACGGAGTGGATATTAGTTGTCGTCGTTGGTAAGAACAACAACGCGTTAATAATGTCCTTGTAGTATTTTTACTTGTTAGCACCAAACTTAGCATTGCTAACTCGTCTCGCCCCGCAGCTAACTCATAGCTGCTTCTGTTTTTTTTTTCGTTTGTTTGTTTGTTTGTTTTGTCTGGTTGTGCGGGCAAACGCAATGTCAGCAGGTTTGTGATGTAATGGGTCTGTTTGAAGGTTTTCATTTAATTTGAGTCAGGTAGATGTAATAACCTGTAAACATGGTTTATTAGTGATGTTGACATCAAATAGCTGACACCTAAACATCTTAAAATAGAGTAATTATAACTGTGGCAACTCGATAAAGCCTTAAATTACTGACATTTATCAACTTTCCCCGTTTGAAAACTCCTTGTTTAGCCTTTCAGTCTGAGTAATAACATTTAAAATCACAATGTCTCATGAGGTGAGGTTAGTTTGGGTGGCTCAGAGAACAACAATGACTTGAACAGTGACACCAATTAAATGTTATTTTCAACAGAAAACAGGATATTTTAAATGTTAATGTGGAGAGTCTGTGCCACACTGTTTTTCCCCAAGTTGTGTTTATTGTTTCCCCCCCTTAAATAAAGTGTGAAAATTGTTTTAAAAATCTTCCTTACAGCTTTGTACTTGTTGTTTACTGCAGTCATATTTATTCTCAGCACCAATATCTGCATGTGTTAGAAATGGCTTTGCCTATGTTTAGTGTGTAATACTTGTACTTGACAGTTGAACTACAACTTTAAAATGTTTTCTTTTGTGTACATTTTCTAAATCTATATGAATCTACCTGTTTTCTATGTTTTAATTTTTAGGAAAGAAAGCATCACTCAGCTCACTCCGCCACTGCCACATCGATCTGGTCCTTCCTTTCAGGATTTTTTTGTTCATCCAGCCTTTGCTCGCCATCAGTGCCTTGCGCGACACGGTTTTCCTATCCACACCCTGCACACACCCCGTGGTTTTCGCGCCTCTTTAGGTCTTCTCGTTTTTTTTGATAGCCTCTGTTTTTGTAAATGGCCGGGCGCGGAGGAGGATCAACAAGGCCCAATGGTGCCGCAGCAGCGAATAAAATCTGCCAGTTTAAACTGGTGCTGCTGGGGGAGTCTGCGGTGGGCAAGTCCAGCTTGGTGCTGCGCTTTGTCAAAGGCCAGTTTCATGAATTCCAAGAGAGCACCATTGGAGGTAAGAGAGATAACCATGATTCTCGATTTAAAAGAAGGGAATGTTGTTCAAAATGCCTTCAGGGGATTCACCAGGTAAGTATTGGGGTTTTTATGTGCACAAGGAACTATTCTTTTATTTACTGCTACACAAAATTAACATATATTCGAAACACATTTTAAATAAAAAAAGTTTTTAATATGAATTGAATTGAACTTCCCCTTCATTCAACTTTTGAAATTCAGTTAAATCAGGAACTAATCTGTCAAGAAAGCTGAACATTTAATGAGATTGGTGATACCAGTTTTGATTCAGTGTTGTTGACGCTTGGTGTTTCACATTTAAGTGTGTCCCTTTAAAAGGTTGATACTAGTTAAAAATAAATATTGATTTTGAGTCTGATCTTGACGTAGCTATGAACAGAATTGAATCACTCACTCACTGCAGGAAGATGGACTCTAACATATCATCATTAAGCTGATCATGTTTTGTCATTCTTCTCAGCCGCCTTCCTCACTCAGACCGTCTGCCTGGACGACACCACTGTGAAGTTTGAGATCTGGGACACGGCAGGTCAGGAGCGCTACCACAGTCTTGCACCGATGTACTACAGAGGTGCTCAGGCCGCCATTGTGGTCTACGACATTACCAATACAGTAGGTTTCACGTGCCGGGGAAAGAGTGGGGTCAAGGTCATAACACTAAAATGAAATATATGGGTTATAGCTTCATAACTTCTGCACTTTTTTTGTAGTTGTATTAAATATTTTATGTTTTCATTATGTCAGTGACATAAAAATACATAAAACCTAAATATTGATTTCTTTCATATTATTATTTCTTTTAGATTTATTATCCGGCTTTTAGGCCTTTATTCTGATAGGACAGTGTATAGAGTTGGAACCTGGAAAAAGAGATTGGCAGGTTGGACTCGAACCCGGGCCCCCTGTATCAAGGTCAACAGCCTCAATACATGGGGCGCGCTAACTTACAGTTAGTCTAACCAGCGCCCTGTATACTGAAGTTGTAAGCCAAGCTATGTTGATATCCAAGGTTATGTGGAGTATTAAATGGGGGTGTGTTTGGAGGCTAAAGGATAAAAGGTCTTTTTAATTTTAAATGAAATGTCACCTAGTCTAATAGTAGACCGGTGGGTGTCTGAGGTCAGGTGTTGGTCAGTTTCATTTATATCAATACAGAAGTGTGCACCTGAAAGTGTAAATGAACCTCACAGTTTAAATTTCTTCCTGATATGAGTTGTTTGTGGGAGAATATTATTGATAACGATTGTTGCTATTTTAGGATACTTTTACACGAGCTAAGAACTGGGTGAAGGAGCTGCAGAGACAAGCCAGCCCTAACATAGTGATCGCTCTGGCTGGAAACAAGGCGGATATCGCAAACAAGAGAGCTGTAGATCTCCAGGTATGACCACACAAACATATCACTTAACTTTGCATTTACAGCTTTATGATTAAAGATATTTAACGTCTCTTTTGCCTTTATTATCATAAACTTGTCAGTGCAATAACATGTCTAATATAGCTCTTGATATTTCTAAATGATGTCCTTAGGAGGCACAGACTTATGCTGATGACAACAGTCTTCTCTTCATGGAAACCTCAGCCAAGACTGCCATGAATGTCAATGAGATTTTCATGGCTATAGGTAAGTCAACATTCTTTTACGTCCCTCTTATTTCTTGAGCCAAGAAGAATTATATATAAATACATTTCAAAAAAACTGGCACAGCTTTCCAAACCTGAACTGAATTCAATAGGTATCCTTGTTTGACTTTTATATTGACTGATTAATTTAGACTTAATTAGAGACTCTCCATATATGTCAGGGATCTTCACTTTATGAAGATGATGTTGTCCTCTTTTCTTTTTTTCTTTTTTTTAACCACATCGTTGATTGTTCAGTTCCATCTTTGTTAGAAATAATTAAGAGTTTTGGGACATTTTCAGGATTCAAAGTAAATATAAACTAAACATTTTAATGTATCTAAACAAACACGAGAGGCTGCAACTGAAATCACAAACTCCTCTTGTTCAGCTCCTGGAGAACAATTCAGCTATTTGGAAATTAGAATAACACGTGACATTAATGATCTGTATCCTGCAAACTATGATCATATTGTTGAATCTGTAATAGAATCTCTTAACAGATGGACTGTCACGCCAAACAATTGGTCATATAAATATCTTAAAAAGGATTTTTTTTTTACCTAAATCGCTCAATTTATTTCATGTAATTCCCTTGCACCCTCCCAAGTAATATTGACAAAAACAAATGAGGACATTATTTGCAAACTTCACTTCGGACAAAACACGTTCTCACCCTACTTTATGACGGAGGCGGTTTGAATCTACTAATTTGTGCCGGTGTTTTTGGGCGACACAATTGAGAGCTGCCATGAAAGCTGCCA